GAACTGGAGTGTACCACTCAAACCATCAAAACCTTATTGGAACGACATACAGCTTAAAACACATTTATTTACATACAAAATGGTCATGAAAATATAGTGTAGTTCACTGCGGACGAGTTGGGCGTGTCAGGCAGTATGAGTGTGTCACGTCAGTCGTTCTCTGCCTTCTTGTTGAAGCGCGCATGCGACAAAAAGTGGTAGAAAACGAGTAATACGATGATATGATACAGTCATATCATTTGCTCGCTTTAACAACTGGTGGAGAACGGGTTTGGCACCGCGCCAAACTCATCCCGCCTGACACGCCCAACCGTCCGCAGCGAACTACACTATGGCAAGATGAGTTCTACTCGCATGGGGGGGAACATGAAGAAAATACTGTCATCTGCAAGAGAGATTATTACTGCTACGACCTGTACAATATTTATTTAATGTTCGACTGGGATTAGTCGCAGTGGTTGCTCTTTTGGAAAGAGAACAGAATCGAATTTTGGTTCCAGATCTATAGTGCGTCCTTTGGCTGGCTCTATCTGAAAGGTTGAAACATTAACTCAACATTCAGTGTCATTCTAAGGAAAACATGTCAGGATTGGGTTCATACGTAGCCAACCCCTTCTCCACCAATAGTAGAATCTGGCGAACAACCACAACTGGGGGAAGATGGGCTGGTATTGCCCCTAACCGGATGATGTCGGTCTCACTTTTGCCTAAGGAGTCCTCCGAAGGCCCCGCTCAAGGTTACAGGCGCCGAGCTTTTTAACGAGAAACTTATCAGTATCCGGACGCGCCTCAGCATCCACAGCGAAAAAAGTCTATGGATTGGAAGTCATGACTCCTTCCGCTTGGAAATCAACAGTAGTAGCTAGGATAGATTATGAGTAAGGAACTTACTCGGTAGTTCTGGAGCAAGGTGACAACACCAATGAACAGCTCAACTCTGGCCAGAGCCTCTCCAGCACATTGGCGCTTTCCCACCGAGAAAGGGCAAAGCTGTTCCACAGTTTTCTGAAAATCACTTTGCCGT